CAGTAAATAAATACCGTCTACGTGCAATCAATAAAACATACAACAGCCTACCTGTTGAAGACGCTCCTGCTGCTGATGGAACATAATGAGACAGATGGAAAAGATAGAGAGCTCAGTCAGTAATGGCTCTCTGTCACTCGTGTGTGATTAATACACCCACCCGGTGCAAACGAATCAATAAAAGCTTGCATACAGCATGTCTTCAGTCAAAGCAGAAAGCTCACAGCAAATACAGGTTAGATAAAGACATCATTCAAAATCATAAAGCTGGATAAGCAGGCTTTTATTTTCTTGCCTCGTGCAGCAGTACCACACTGAACGCTGCTCTGTGTGGTACTTGAGCTGTTTTTGACATCACCCTGGCTTTCCCCGCAACCGTGCATCTGTTTAACAGATCACAGGACTCTTAAATCTGCCTGTGGTTTGGAGGTTCCTTTCATTCTGAAATAGCCGGGATGTAACCATCTTTTTGTTTAAAAAAAGGGGGACATGTTTGCCTCTCGAGCCTGCTTACGATCATGTTGCAGTTCTGGAAGGGGCCGCATGTATAACCGTCTGAAAGTAAGCATTGGGAGAAAAAAGCAAAGCCAAAACAGAAACCCAGAAAGTCTTTTTTCCAGTGAAGATGCTGAAAGAAACGCACAAACATACAGAGCAGCAGCAGGAAGCTTTGGTCACTTTGAAAAATACACTTATCAGCTTTCTTCTGTGAGAGTTATCTAAGAATAAGAAGTCATAAAGGTATCCTGTGGCGTCAGTGACGGCTCGCCATCAGCTTTTATGTCATTTTACAGCGTGCAAGTTTGAGCAGGGCGACTTTTACCCAAAATCATTACCCTTCTCTAAACCTCACCAAGAAGTTTTTGTGCCTGAAACTAACCAACTAACCAAACAATGTGTGAAAGCGAAAGAAAATGGATATGAAAAACAAAATCCACAGAAAAAAGTGAAGCTTGCAGCAATCTTAATAACACTGGAGGAATTTCTGAGAATAACCAGAGTGTTTAATGGTCTGGGAAGAACGGGCTGAAACACTAACACTGTTCTCACGTCTGTACGCAAAATAAAGACAATATTAGCTACAGTCAACTAACTTAGCATATAATGAGCAATGTTATAATGGATAACAGAGACAACTAGCTGACAAAGTCATATATTTTTAACTTTGTTTTACTGCCCACATTTTCATAAACATTTATTTTTTAAATAACACAATGGGT